ATGTCATAGTCAGACTGGCAAAAAAGACATCCCTGAACATCAAATGTTGGCAAAATTGAGAAGAAATGCTTTCTTACTTCCTGGAGCAATGTACACTGGTACAGCCATGTTAGACGAAAAACTGAGCGAAACTCACCTAAACCGTGGCCTCAGGATTCCATTCCCAGGTAAGCAAAAAACACTCAAGTACAAGCATTACTTGTAACAGCTAAATAGTGCAAAAAATTCTAAATGTCTATCAAGAGCAGACTATCACAATTGTCTGTCATGACGTGTGATATAGCCATTCAAGGGACTATCATGTCGTGGTTGAAATAAACCAATGCTACATATATAAATCTCTAAACAATGTCAAGGACAACCAAAAAAAAAAGTATAAAATTAAGCAAATAAAAGCTTAAATGCCATAAAACAAAATATTTATGTATACATAAATTTAAAATTATAAAACAGACGGCCACAGGGGCATCAACTGGACCTGACCTTTTACTTCTAACAGAAAAATGAACGTAAACAAATACAGAAAACTAGTAAGGATTTTAACAAAAGAAGATAGTGGGCATGGATATTTTTATGATTTCGTATGGTGTCTGTTTTAAATATTTCCTGAATAAGTAAAAGAGAAATAGAAAAGGTTAACAAATGTGTTAAGATGTCTACAAGTATTCACACAGTAGGTCCAGCGGCCTTATCAACAGGTAACTTGACAAGAACATATATAAACTCCTATTGCAATTCTGAAATTTCAGCATCAGAAACTCTGACAGCCGAAATTTATATTCAGGGTGACCAATCACCCTTGAATTGTGATATCTGCGAACAATACTGAGAATACCAGGGACTGCCAGAAGAATGAACAAATCTAGCCCGGAAGAAGTGCATCCAGAAGGCTCCTTGATAGTGAGAACAGCCAGACTTCTTTGATCATGTGGTCAGAAGGGATCAATCCCAGAGAAAGATACCATGTGCCATAAAGTGGAAGGTCAGAGAGAAAGGGGAAGACAAGATGGATTGGCACAGTGTCTGCGACAGTGAGCTCAAGCACAGCAAGGATTGTGAGGGTGGCACGGGACAGGGCAGTGTTTCGCTCTGCTGTACACGGGGTCACTATGGGTCAGAATTGACCGGATGGCACCTAACAACAACAAGCACCCTGAAGACCTTCAGGGCTAACACAGGAGAACGTCCTTGGCAAATCAAGACAGCTGGTCACTCCACACAGAAGACACAAATGCTCCCACTCAAACACAATGGATCTGTGAAGAGCAAGACGTAGGACAGTTGAGCCCTGTCTTCCTTCCTGTGTGTTACACTCCATAGGCAGAGCTCTGACATCCTAACTCCTCCCACAGCAGTCTTCTCTGCTTTCCAGGCCACCCCACACTGCTTACAATCAATCCACGGTCCAGTATTTGATCCCCAAGCTGTTACCTAGTCTGAAAGAGGGGAAGGGCATGGAGGGAGTTGGACAAAGGAGAAAACTCTCAAGTTAGGGTACTTTCTCTATTCTCACGGCTAGTATGCAAGAGAAGAAACATGACATCCCAAGACCAAGCTCTAAAAGAGACTTTCTCCTGTAAGTATCCTTAAATATTACTAAGATTCAACCAGATCAAAACTATGAAGACTCCAAAAACCATTTTAAAAGCTCTCTCTTTCAGTATTCATTAAGAAACTCCTGGTCTCCGAGTCACTTATTATACCTGACCAGTCCCCAGCAGAAATCCATATCAAGGAAAGAAGGAGAAACAGCCTTCTGAACTCCAGGAAAGCCTTCATCTGCCCAGATTGGAAGCCAAAGCCCACTCAGGAAACAGGAGACTGGAGGAGTAGGTGGGCTTATATACCTAAACAGCAGAGGCGGCACTCAGGAGTGAGTAATTAAGTACCACTTTGGAAAGCACACATGTGCAATAGATCTACCATTAGTTCATTTTCTAAAATGGACCATTTTTTATTCAAATATCAAAAGAACAAGAGTGAAGGCAAAGCCAATGTAGTACTCGTGTGTTCCCTTGGAACTACGAATTGTGTGGTCCTGAAATTCACCACCTTTGGTGATGGTCATTTAGGGCCCCTGGATAGTTCAACCAGTTAAGCGTCAACCAAAAAGTTACAGGTTCAAATCCACCCAGAGCCTTCTCGGAAGAAAGTTCTGGTGAGCTGCTTCTAAACACGCAGTTATTGAAAACGCTGTGGAATGAAGCTGCACTCTGACACACATGGGGTCGCCATGAGTCAAAGTCAACTCCACTACAACTGGCAGTTAAGTATAACAAGCAATTCTGTTAATGATTACTCAAAGATCAGTGAGAGACTCTACTTCACTTGCTTTAGAGTCTGATCATTGAATATAAGATTCTGTCCAAGTTGATTTTTACAAAATGTAGACATTGTCAAGGTTGGACTTCTGGCCATGTGGTCTTCTTCCCACACTGATAAAATTGGACAAGTCCTGCAGCTGTAATGTAGTCTCTATTAGCATCCCCCCAAAATTATAGAAAATATACCAT